TAAAAATATCATTCTAGTTGTTGGTGTACACAATAGATTAAGAATTGGTTCTCTGTTGTGGTACAATTCTAAAACACTAGTATGTAAAAAAAAATGTTGGGTGTAGACTACACTGAAGTAAAACTCAAGAAACAAATAACTTATTAAATGTGGATTTATAGTTAAACATTCCTGACCATTTGTAATTTGTTGAAAATTGTTGGTAGCAATCTATTTATGTTGGTGACTTCATTGGATCTGACCTTTCGGTTATAATTTTCACTAAACGCCTAATGTAGTCTAATAGAGTATGTATGAAATCATGAAACAAGTCCCATTATCATACAAAAACAAATTTAATTTTATGCATATGGCTAGTATATATTGTAAAATGCATTCCCTAGGACTGTACAAAATGAGGTATAGGAAAACCACCTTTTCTGGTTGTTTCCTAACAGGAAATACCTAGTGCAAGTTCCTGTTACTTGAAGACAAAGTATCCTGAGGATATTATTTTGCTCTATTTTTTATTTATTTATTTTATTTTCTTCTTTTTAAATTATTTATTTAACTTTATTTATTCATTCTTTCATTCATTTTTAATTTGATAAGAAAGATACAGAGAGAGAGAGAGAGAGAGAGAGAGAGAGAAGATGAGAAAGCAAGCCACCAGGTCCAGGACTTGAACCGTGGTCAGCCATGTGGGAGCGTCCAGTGCCTTAACCACCATGCCACCCACTGGTCCCTTGCTCTATTTTTTAAAACATAGTTATTTTTTTAAATCTATTGGCCCTCTTATTATCTATTTTTAAAAGAGACATTAAGACATATTTTCAAATATAATAAAAGTAATTTAATTCTAAATACTCAACAGGTTAATTTTATTTTAACAAATTCCAGAAGTATCTTTAAAATCATGTTATTCCTCATGAACACTTCATCTGTGTTAGTGTTTTCCTTTGAATTATGATCTCATAATTATAAGTAACTAAAGAAATAACTACCAAAACTGAAGAATGAAATACTTAAAAGTTAAAATATGAGCATCTTCATTTAAAAACATAAGTTTTAGTTTATTCTTAAGAGAAACTGATCTGTAGAAAATTAGAAATACAAAACAAAATAAATGAAAAGTATTTTCAAACATGTCTTCAATATTGAAATACCAGATTTTATTTGATATCTTCTGTGATATAAAAATATTAAGAACACAAAAATACCAATATTAAATCATTTTAAACACTATTTTTATGCATTTAAAAACAAAAAAATAAAATGTTAAAAGGCACATATTTTTACTAGGTGTATATATAAGCAGGCATCTATCTATACAATAGACTTGGCAATACATATGTATAGAAAAAGGCAAAGAGTGGAAACTGACTCAAGGAATTTTATGTAAACTAGCTTTTACTAGAATGCTTATCAGAAAGGTGAAGATTCTACTTAATCTGTCAAGGAATGTGGGCACCAAAAATTTAGTTTTCTTGAAAGAATGAAATTCTACTTTCTACTAGCATGACTTGATAATCTCTCACACTCAGAGACACATGAAAAAGAATCTGTACAATCCTTGAATAAATTAATCAAGGAAATCCACAGAATCACACATTTCTGGAAGCTGACTTAGCCCTTTTTTACAGCAAATATTGGAAATAAGCAATTTCTAAGATGATAAATTACTGTCATGAAGTTATAGCTACTATTCACCTAGACATCAGATATCATATTCTAATAATTCCTAGAGTACTTAAGAGATGGGAATTCAACTTCCGGATATTATCTTGATAATCTATATGCAAACATTATGAAATATTGTACAAATATTCAAATATGGAACATTATATAGATTGGATTTTTGAGAAAAGGATGTCAAGGCCTGATGCACCAATTATATTTCCCAGTACTGCTGCCTGCTCCCTTCCTTAATAGCTCTCTGCTTCTGAGGTAAATGCTTCTCAACAGAGTGATTCAGAGAGCTAATGATTTACAGTTGGGATATGAGTTTCACATAATTTCTTATAGTAGACTGGTATTTATAAAAACATGTTACTAAAGACTAAAAATAGTTGCTATAGGTTTTATCCAAGGTACTTCACAGAAAAAGTTTTGGTTAGAAAGTATTGTGAATATAGTACTACCAGAAGGAAGGTGTAATGGTTACTTTGCTGGAATCCCACATAGTCAACTGTGGTTTGAGTCCCAGACTTGGTGGCTTAAAACTCACACTGGATGTGTTTGTATGCATTCCCAAGATCCTGGGAGGAGAAAAGAGAAGGGGTTACAGCGTGGCCATCCCACCTGGGGGAGTGATTTCTCGTTTTCTATCTCTCTGTCTCTCCAGCAAGGGCACGTACCCTATAGCAAAAAATCTCTCTCTGTCTGGAAAAAAAATATATTGAGAATATGGAACTCTGAAAGTAACAAAAGCAATACAAATGAAATGTGTGTGTAAATTTATATGTGCAGTGTATGTGTACACTTTTTTCCCAGTGTTCAAAATATTTTAAAACATGACATCAGTCATTTAAGAAAGACTGAAAATTTCGAGTTTGAAATTGAACTTTGGAACAACCTTCAAAACCATAAACAAAATGAGAATATGAGAGAAAAAATGACAAAATATTTTACTTAATAAACACAAAAAAACTAACAAATCTATATAAATAAAAAATTTATAGGAAAACAGATTATCATAAAACATTAATCACAAATATGGAAGCAGAAATGGCCAATAAATACAAGAAAAATGCTGTTTAACTTTTATAATTGAAAAAAAGCAATGGTGAAATATTTTGTTTACATATAATGTTGAACTAGCCAACAACTTAAACAAAATCCCTGTTCTTTATTGTCTGCTACACTTGTAATGAAAATTTAAATTTTAGTCATATTTATCAAAATTATTTTAACTATCTAGCTCATTTTTGGGGGGGTGAGTGTTAACAAAGGAGCGAAAAGTGAACATAGTTCTTTAAACTATTAATCTCACTTCTTGGCCAGCTGCATGAAGTAGTTGTAATGTACTACTCAGTAAAAGTGACATCCCACTTGGCAACTAAGGCTCAAATCCCTAGCCAGCCTGAATCACACTAAGCATGCCAGTGCCCAAGATCCCACAGGTTGGAGGATAGGAGGTTGGGGATTGCAGTATGATCAGACTCTATGGAGAGTGCTCATCTCTCTCATCCTCATCTGCACACCTACACACTTTATAATGAAAAAGAAAAAAATCTACTTCTATACATTTTCTTAAGAAAATAGATACATCTATATGCATGAATTTGCAAAGATGTTTATCTTCAAGTTTATGATAGAGGGAATATAAAAGGTGGAAGCAATCTAAGCAACATACATGTTTATCAGTAAGAAATTAGTTATTTTAAGATACATTGCATTGTTGGAAAAGTCATGACATATTTTTTCTATGTAAAAATGTGTCCAGACTTTTCCAATGACCCTATAGTAATTTTACAAAAGATAAAAGTCATTAAAATAATAATGTAAATAATTATTCATGAACATAGAATATGACTATAACATATTTTCAAATTTAGAAAGCAATTTCGAACAGGATTTATATAATGATCAAATGTTTCTTAAATTACCTGTTCAATGCATAAAAATAATTTGAAGGAAATGCAACAAATTTTAGAAGTCTGTCTGCATAAGATTACATGTTACTTTTTAAAATGTTTTCATTGTCCACTTTTTTCATTTACTAAAAATGATTTTTAAAATTCAGAAAATGTGCAATGACTATAAATGTAATTTCCACAAAAACAAAACATGTTTTTCATTTATAGCTAAACTATTGCCAAAAATATTTTAATATTTTTTGTACTAGTTATATAGGAAACAAGCTAAAAAAACAACTATACAAAGCATATAAATTAAAACAACAAAAACATTTTCTAGACATCTTTGGTATGAATGAATCAGAATTTGCAGAGTAATTATATAAATGTAACTAAATAAATCTTGTCTATTTTCAAAAGGATTTAAAGTGGCATATATTAAAAGCCAATACAATCCTTTAATATGAAAAGTATAAAAAGGAGTAACATAGATGAAAAGGTGGAAAGAAAGCAAGATCTGGGAATAGGACTAAAGTGAAAATTAAGCTAGAAAATAGGTTAAGTGATGTAATTTCAATTCACCAGAAAATCAGTTAGTGAGTGTCTGATAAATCAAGGCTAAAAGTGGAAAGGTTACACAACTTTCATGCTGTAATAAATGGAGATGTAAATTCATAAAAATAAAAAAAATAAGTTTCTTTTCTGAACCCTGAGAGAATATCACCACACAGAACAACAAAAATAGAGATTAGAAAACACAGTTTTTAGACAAAATCTCTGTGTTCTATATAAATGGCTTTTATAATATGGGTAACTAGCAAAAAACATAAGGCATAATATTAAGCTATATAAATATTAAGAAATTAAGACCAGGTAAATTCTTTGGGTCGCCTAAACTTACAGTTTAACAAGTGTAGAAGCTAAGGTTTCCTTTCTTTCCTTCCATGCAAGTCACAATTTATATAACCAGCAAGTAGTTGAATTATAGTCAACCAATGGAAAGAATAACAAAATATGGCATAAAGCCAGTTTGTAGGCAATATTAAAAGCGTCCATCATCTTAAATTAAGCCATCAGAAAAACAACCATGTCAGGATAAACATTTTGAAAATGCAATCGTTTTCTAGTATTTCAAACATTAATTCAAAATAAAATGAGATAATTTAGCTTAAGTTGCACTAAAAATTTCAAGACTTTTGGTCTATAAGAAAAAGAGAACCTCAACTGAAAAATTAGAAAATTTCTATAGGTAAAAATAAATTACTTTGGGATCCTTAAGTGTTAGGAATTATTTTGAGCATATTTTCATAGAAGAAATTAACTCTAGGTATTTTATTAAAATTAGAAAGAAAAATATGCAATAAACTCAAATAATTACCTCACTTAGGTTGGTTCAAAAATGCAATAAAATATATCTAATTATAATTATTGCTATCAGTGCTGCATCAAAATAAGAGGAATATATGATACTGTAATTAGAAAATGTTCCTCTATAAAATGAACCACACATGTAAGAGTCATTTAGTTATCCAAAAAGGAGAAAAAAAATGGCTTGGTATGAAAAACATTTAATAACCTTTACCTTCAAGGTTTACTAACCTAAGCAGCCATCAGGTAGCATCTGAAATTTACTGAGGACAGTTTAGTCAGAGATTACTACCATTCCCTCATCTGCTGCAAAGGTTGACTGGTGAAGTCAAGTTTTTCTTTCCTAATGCTTCTGGGACAAGGCAATGTTGAGGGGTTTGGAACCCAAGATCTGGCCATTCATCTCAGTCATTGCTTTAGTGGCCTCCTCAGGAGAGGAGAAGCAGATTAAGCCAAACCCTTTGCTTTGCCCTTCCTCCTGCATTACCTTAACTCTGCTAATTGATCCAAATGAAGAAAATTCCTTTCGTAGTTTTTCATCATCAATTGTGTCATCAAGGTTCTTAATGTAGAGTTTTACTCCCTGGCACTTACGAATTCTTTCCCTTTTCTGTTGCTCAAACATTTGCTTTAACTCAGCCTGTCGCTCTACTTTCTTTTGTGCCCGGCCTACAAAAATCAGTTGCCCATTTATGTCCTTTCCATTCATTTCTTCAACAGCCTTTTGGGCAGCTTCGTGGTTGTCAAAACTCACAAAGCCAAACCCTTTGGATTTCCCACTGGGATCTGTCATCACCTTAACACTCAGAGTTTTGCCATACTTGCTGAAAACTTCTCTCAGTCTCTCATCATCCATGTCATCTCCAAAGTTTTTGATGTAAACGTTGGTGAATTCACTGGCTTTGTTTCTGAGTTCGGCTTCCCGATCTTTGCGGTTTTTGAATCTGCCAACAAACACTTTGCAGTCCTTGAGAAGCTTCCCATTCATTTCCTCAATGGCTCTGTCTGCAGCACTCTGGTTCTGAAAGTGCACAAATGCATAACCTTTGGAGCCTTGGTCATCACTCATCACTTTGGAAGATAGGATCTTTCCAAAAGCTGAAAAGTGTTCATAAAGGGTTTTGTTATCGATGGATCTATCCAGATTCTTGATGAACACGTTACCAATTCCAGATTTCCTTAAGCAGGCATCACGTTGAGACCACATGAGACGGATGGATTTGCCTTTTATCATGTCAAAGTTCATCGTGTCCAGAGCCTTCTGGGCATCAGCCAACTGCAAGAAGTTCACGTAGGCATAGCCCAGAGAGCGGCGGGTGACCAGGTCCCTGCAGATACGGATAGACAGCACAGGCCCCACAGTGCTGAACTTCTTGAACAGCAGATCCTCAGTGACATCCGCAGAGAGGTCACCGACATACAGGGAGGCCATGCGGTACTTGGCTTCGACATTCATCTCCTTGCTCCTCACCACAAGCCTGGCCCCAGGAGCTGTTGGAGCGATTTCTGCAGAAGGGAGGCCAGGCCACACAGCTTGGGCTCACAGAGGGAGGGGAGTGGTGGCTTCAGGAGCAACACTTAGAGGGCAAACAATGGGGTGGAGGTCCAGCTCCGCAGGCTTGGACAACAGCCTTCCTCCAACCTCTCGCAGCTCTGGGCCTGGCCCTCCCTGGATTGGCAGGAATGAGGACTCTCCAGACAATATGAGGCCCAGGTGTTCCTGCCCAGATGGTGTGAGAGAAACCAAGCGGCAGGCGGCCGCTCCAGCGTCCTCCACAGACGCCTGGTCCTGGTTTCTGAGTAAAAATAGGCCTCACTCTGGCTGGTTTAGAGTTGCAGCGGCTCAGGGAAGAACTCC